CATCATCGACCTCCGCGCGCAGCTTGTTCTTGATGCACTCCATGCCCTACTCGTGAAGGACGACCTGCAGCTTCGAGCGGCAGCGCGAGGGTGGAGGGGCGAAAATTTCGGGCGTCGCGGCGCGCGTTTCGCTGAAACGCGGCAGTTCCAATTTCTTATCAGAGTAGTGGCCGCTCGCCTCTGGAGCCCTGCGACTCGCGCGGCCCGGCCGCGTGGTCGAACGGCGCGGCGCCGCGGCGAATGGCACCGACGACGCCAAAGCCGCGACGGCACGCTGCTGCTTCAGCCAACCGAGGAAGGCGGTGCTGCGCAGAGCTTTAGCTCGGCCGCACACCCACGCGCTGAGGGATTCGTTGCGCACAGTGATACACTCACGGCAATCGATCACGTCGATGTTGACGCGCAGCTCTCTGCCCGTCGCCGCGTCGCGCAATATGGCATCATTGCGATTGATCGTCGTCATCGCGCGACCTGAGGCTGCAGCCCGCGCCCGATCGCGCTGCAGCGCCAACGTAGCTGTGATGGAACGCTGATGCATGTGGCGGTGGTTCATTCACGCGGAGGAGCAACGCATGATGAGGCGCGCTGCAGCGCATGTCAAATATACCACTGGTGAGTAAGGAAGAGCAACGACAGCGCCAACACGCACAACAATGATGAGCCGCTGCAGCGGCATATATGTGGGAATGTCTGCTCGCAAAGCACATGGTGCAGTCGCTGGAAAGACGACGCGAGCGCAATGGCGCATTCCGCGCGCTGCAGCGCCACAGTCGACATCAAGCTGCACATCCACCCATACACTGTTTACAACAATCGGTGGCCTCTGAAAATGACTCGGAACCGCGCGCGCTCGCCGTCTCTCCTCCTGATCAACGCCGCCCACCTCCTCCCCGTCGTCGCCCTCCTCCCAAGTCTTACCTTGCCTCGCGCCTCCCCCTCCCCCCTCCCCCCGTCCGCCTCGCCCTCCTCCGCGCGCTCATACATGCATCTAAATATCGCCAGCCCGGGCCGCCCAGAGCCCGCTGGCTGGCCGCGGCTGCAGCCGCGGACACGGCTTCGCCACCAGTGAATCACCCTTGGTCAGCGCCACGGCGTTGACCATCTGGGGCACCGCCACCTGAAGGTCATTTCTACCCTTGCCGAACACCTCGGCCTCCGCCCTGAGCAGCGCGCCGGAGTCCCCGCCCCGCGCCACCACCCAGATGGGCGAGGCGAGCGCGTCGCGGTTGCGTGAGGCGTCGGCCTGGGGCCCCGCGAACTGGGGGCCCATAAAGAACTCGTAGTTGCCAACTATCCCCAGCGAGATGCTCTCTGCAGAGCAGCCTGTGCTCGCCCTTGTGGACGCGGCCGAGATGCGACGACTCCCACCACGGAGCCACATGGCGCGCAGTCGGCTCAGTCGGCATCGTCGGTGACCTCGTCGCTGCGGCGTGACGCGCCTGGAGATCCCCAGTAAAGCCGGATCAGCGCAGCGCTGCAGCGCGACGTCGCGGGCGGGAGGGGAGAGGGATTGGGGGGCGCGGACGACTGCGGAAGCACATGTCTGACGAAATCTCCAGCCTGGAACGCGCGCTTCCAGCGCGCGGCTGGCGGGTCCTGCACGGTCTCCAAGTCCAGCATCTTCGCCTGGTGCTTCAGCGCCTGGGGCTGCGACGCCATGTTGCATGCCCCCTTGAACGTATCCATCGCCCAGCCCTCATGGGCTGGCGGCAGGGGCTCATTCGCGAACAGCACCTGCTCCTGCACCCTGGAAGCAACCTTGTATTTCTCGGGCAAGCTGCCAACTGCAATCCGCCAACTCGGCGTCCTGTTCTTAAGCGCGCTGCAGCGCATCGAACAACCCAGCAATTGCAACTTAAGTACAGTACAGTGTCGCCGCCGCCACCTCCACCCACGGCATCACCACCGCCCGCGCCGTCATCGCAACCGCCCCTGGATTTCATGACCCCCCCTGCCCCCCTGGGCTGCGGGGCGGCTGCAGCCGCGCAATGCCGATCTCCTCGCCAACCAGGTCGCCGTGCAGCTTCTGCTGGGCGGTGGCCCCATTCTCCGAGGTGGACAGCACCTTGCATGAAGACGTCATCCACGTCCTTCTTCTGGACGACGTGCTTCCCCACGTCGAACCCAGCGCGCCGCGCGCGGAAGATGTCGCTATTCAGCCCAACGGCCGACGACGCCACCACCGCGGGCGGCGCGCCTGCATCGTTGCCCGCGGGCGGCGCGCCACCGCCAGCCTGGCTGTCGGTCGGCGCGACCTTGCCGAACTCGACCCCCAATGTTGTCATCTGCAACTGGGCCGGCCCCCCGAGCTCCTCGATGAACACCTCTCGGGAGGATCGCTGCAGCGATGTTGCAAAACGATAAACGGAGGAAGGGAACAGACAAAACGAAATGAGGCGTGAGAAGATACCTGTGGGAGATCTGCTACGCGTGCGTAGCTGCGGTCTCCTGGTGCTCGCTTCTTCGCCAGGTGCATGGCACAGCGGACACCCTAATTTGTGGTGTGCAAGAAGCCCACCGCCCCGGTATCCAACCGCTTCGAGAGCGACCCTGCGTCGGCCACGAGGTTGTCGGCCGCCGCCACATCCGCCCCTGCGGGCAGGATTCGCGACGAGGGTGGTCTCGCTCGCCTTGATCCGCCCATCGCTTCAGCGATTGCTTTTGGGAGCATGCTTAGCATTGTAGCGCAGGGAGAGGATGGGCATGCAATTCTCGCAATGCAGCGCAATGCGCAACAATGGCCCATGCGCTGAAGCGCATGCAGGGGGGGAGGAAGCGCCGACAGGCTGATGGATGGTTCTGCACATGCTGTCCACCACTTGCTCGCCTGAGTAACCGGCCTTCACGATCGTCGCCACGACGCACGGGCGCGACCCCCCGCGCTTCCCCCTCGCATCCAACTTGCGCCAGGACCCGGAGCCGCACATCAAAATTTATCCCGAGACGTCCACATTCGGACCCCATCTATTTCACGGAAAAGTTCTCCGCTTTCTGGCCCGAGCTCAGCAAACTTGCACAGGTCGGCGATCCAAGCCTTGCAAGGTGGGTTCGCGTGGCCCGCCTGGTCGGCGATGTCGCGCCAAGCGGGCTTGCTCGAACCCTCGGCGAGGCCGTGTGCCAAGAGCATCCGCGCACCTGCCTGCAGCAAGGGCCGAGCCGATCACGTGCTGCAGCACGGTGACTCCTCCTATCATGCTTAGCCCCTTGTTCCCACCAAACTCCTCCTCCACGCCCTCCCAATCGCCCTCCTCATGCGTCATCCTGGTCCTTACTACATGTATGAACAACGGAGATAGGGTGCCACCTGATCGAATGATATCGGTCTCGTGGACCGCCTCCCTGGCGCCGGCGCGTGACGCCCTCTGCGCGAAGTTTTTGAGACCCTTCAGGCTGGCCACCGCGTGCTTTAAGATCCACCATGTCATGTCCTCGCCGACTGCCGTCGCAAGTTGCGGGCGCAACGCGCGCGGCCGCGCGGAGTCGATGTTGCCCCGAGCGTCTGCTAGTTCTTTCACCGTGGTCAGTGCCCCGGCCAACGCGCAGCGGAGGAAGGCGTTCGCGTGGGAGCCGCCGACAGACGTGCACCGCAGTGAGTCCAGTGGGGGGCACCGACCCCCACTGAGCCGCGAAAGGTGCTCGTTCGCCAGCGTGGTCTCTTGCAATTGCGGCCCTTCGGGCGGGGCCTCGAAGGCCGCGGCCCCTGCCGTCTCGGCCGAGACGAAGCCCCGGGCGCAAATCTTCGCGCCTAAATTGTGAGCCCGCGCAGGGTCCACTAACGAGCCACTGCGGTTCTCAATGTCAATGCCCATCTGGGCGGGCGGGGCCTGCCGCGCATGCGCTAGGACCTCCGCCGGCAGAAACTCCTTCAGGTGGTCGCACCCCGATGCCAACCTCCCCGAGGCATTGCAATCTTCAGTGTACTGCAAGATCTTCTCCTCCTGGCGCGCCTGCAGCGCGGCCATCGCCAGCGCGACGGCGCCGAAAGCAACGCGCGCGCCCGCGGGCGCGGCCTGCAGATGCGGCGCGCAGCCGCAGCTCGAGGCAAGCTGACTGCGCGCGGCGTTCGTGAATATCGACTTGGAGGGCACGGTAAATTGCGAGCGCAACATCAGACATGGGCTGCATCCCAAGGCTTACAAGACACGCACGCGCATCACGATGCAGCGCAAGGCGGCATGGCGATGCAAACATGTTTTGCGCTGCGGCGCAAAATAACATATGTGCCATCAAATTTTGAGCGCTGCGGCGCGCAATGCGAACCGTCAAATACAACGCGTGCAACAATGATGCAATTACATGTGCATTCAAATTCTTCTGCAACGGAGCTGGCCGATAAAGAGGATCCGATCAACGCGCAACTAGAAAACATGCGGCAAACTGTCAAATGCAGCGCTGCAGCGCTTCGTATTCATATGAATCACAAGGCAGCGCTGCAGCGGTGCTGATGTGCAAATGCAAGAATCCATGGTAACGACTCCATATCGAAGGCGCTAGCTATGTAGCGCTGCAGCGCTCAACAAGCAGACGGAGCTCTTCTCAGGGGTGGGGGCTACCACTTTCCCCTGTGCAAAACCCTGAAAAAAAAAACAAACAAACGCCCGGCAGTCGCTAAGTTACGTATAACCTGCTCAGCTAGCTGGTTACAAGTGGTAATAAGTGGTTAGCTAAGTTCGCTAATTACTTAGCTAACTACTTCTAAATGGATACTAAGTGGGCCACTTGGTAAGCACTAACTACGTGCTTACCTGAGTCCGCTTTGTAAGTTCGAAGTACTTAACTTAGCGTAGTAAGTATGCTAAGTACTTAACAACCGCCGCGGCCATCCAAGCAGGGTCAGGGAGCGCGCCTCCCCAGGAAGAGAACGGGCCCTCCAGCTTTCCGCTGCGACTTTCGCCTCGCCAGGCTCTCGTCCTCTACGGGCCCCGGAGCTGGCCCATGGGTGGCGGCCCTGGGGTCCAGGGCCCGTTCCCCTCGGGGCCCGTTCCCTCCGTGCCAAGCACCGCGCCGCCGTCTAGCGAAGCCTGCAGGGGCAGCGTCGCGCCGACAAGCAGGCGCGCGGTGTGCGTCAGCGCCCCTTCGCCCAACGCCGGCGCGCCGCGCTGGCCGGCGCCGTTGAAGCCGATGGCCACGGCCGCGCCGTCGCTCCAGAGCAGCGCCGAGTGCACGCCTTCCGGTCCCAACGCCGGCGCGTTGCACTGGCCGGTGCGTTTCCAGCCGAAGGCCACGGCCGCGCCGCCGCTCCTGAACAGCGCCGCGCGAAGACATCCCGCGGCGACCTGCGTGTAGCTCAGGCCACCGTCCAGCGCCAGCACGTTGCACTGGCCAAGGTCATTCCAGCCGAAGGCCACGGCCGTGCCGTCGCTCCCGAGCAGCGCCGCGTGAACGAATCCCGCGGCGACCTGCGTGTAGCTCAGGCCACCGCCCAGCGCCGGCGCGTTGCGCTGCCCGGCGCCATTCGCGCTGAAGGCCACGGCCGCGCCGTCGCTCCTGAGCAGCGCCGCGTGGCAACTCCCCGCGGCGACCTGCGTGTGGTTCAGGCCACCGCCCAGCGCCGGCACGTTGCACTGGCTGGCGCCATTCGCGCCGAAGGCCACGGCCGTGCCGTCGCTCCTGAGCAGCGCCGCGCGAACGCGCCCCGCAGCGACCTGCGTGTAGCTCAAGCCACCGTCCAGCGCCGGCGCGTTGCACCGGCCGGCGCGATTCCAGCCGAAGGCCACGGCGGTGCCGTCGCTCCTGAGCAGCGCCGCGTGTTCGTATCCCGCGGCGACCCGCGTGTATCCCGCGGCGACCCGCGCGTAGCTCAGGCCACCATCCAGCGCCGGCACGTTGCACTGGCCGAGGTCATCCCAGCCGAAGGCCACGGCCGCGCCGTCGCTCCTGAACAGCACTGCAGGGGAACTTTCCGCGGCGACCTGCGCGCAGCTCAGGCCGCCGCCCAGCGCCGGCACGCCGCGCTGGCCGAAGTCATTCTAGCCGAAGGCCGCGGGAACTCCCCGCGGCGACCTGCGTGTAGCTCGGGCCACCGCCCAGCGCCTGCACGTTGCGCTGGCTTGCGCCAGTCGCGCCGAAAGCCACGGCCGTGCCGTCGCTCCTGAGCAGCACGGCGCGGGAACTCCCCGCGGCGACCTGCGCGTGGCTCAGGCCACCGCCCAGCGCCAGCACGTTGCACTGGCTGGCGCCATTCGCGCCGAAAACCACGGCGGGGCCGTCGCTCCTGAACGGCGCCGCGTGAACGCGCCCCGCGGCGACCTGCGCGAAACTCAGGGCCCCGCCCATCGCCGGCACGTTGCACTGGCCGGCGTGATTCCAGCCGAAGGCCGCGGCCGTGTCGTCGCTCCCGAGCAGCCCCGTGTGTTCGCATCCCGCGGCGACCATTCGCGGGCGCGGTCGGGAAGCCCGAAGGCCCGCCGAGGGGGGCGCGCGCGGGCTCCTGAGAGCGCCCGGGGCTCCCGGGAGGGCCGCGGCTCGAGCCGGAGCGGCGGGCTGGGAAAGGGGCGGCCCGCGCCCCTGGATGCCCGGATGCTTCGAGGCACCTCCAATCGCGCGTGCCCGCGCCCCGCGACGCGCGAGGCGCGGCTCTCGCCGCCCCCCGCCGAGCGGCCGCGAGGCACCCTGGGGCCCCCTGCCGGCGCAGGCCCCGCGCACGCGGAGGGCCGCGCGACACGCGCGAGAGCCCAGGGCCGGATTTGCGACATCCTGGAAACATCCAGTTTCGGTCAGCAGCTCCAGATGCCACCCGAGAGGCGCCCCAAGCTTCGCCCATGGCGTCGGCCTCCGTGAAGCGGCCCGCGGCGTGGCGCTCCCAGGAACCGGCGGCGGGCGATCTCGACGACAAGGACGACAAGCCCGACGGCGAGGTCGACGAGAGGGCGACTTCGCGCGGGCAGAGGTACACGTTCACGAAGAACAGGCACTTGCTGGACCCCAAGCTCGTCGAGCGGTTCGATTGGCTGATGGGCCCACAGAACGCGACGAAGGGCAAGCAGGCGGAGATCAACCAGATCATCAACGCCTGCGCGTCGAGGAAGGCGAGGCAAGGCGACGGGCTCGTGGTGAAGTCGCAGACGGTCAGCCTCGCCCAGCCCCACCTCGTGCGCGACGAGGACAAGGAGGCCATGACTGGCATGGGCTGGTGGAGCATGGTCGGGGGCAAATGCAACGGCAAAGAGGAGCTGGCCCAGAAGGCGGTCGACGCTGGTGGGCTCGTGTTCAACGAGAAGACGAATAAGTGGCACCAGGACACCCACGCGGTGTCCAGGGCGAACATCAGGGATCGCGACTACACGGGCAAGCGCACGGTCGACGCTTTCCACGACAATGATTTCTCGAGTATGATCTGCGAGCAGGAGGACCCGCTCACGTCCGAGCCGTTGAGCCACGAGTGATCGGCCATCGAAGCGCCGAAGAAGACGGGTTCGTCCGTGAAGGCCGGCGACAAGGACTTCACCCTCATGCAGGAGCTTTCGGAGAAATAAGCTCGCGCCCTCACCCTCCTCCACTTCACCCCCCCTTCCCAGTTCCCCCCTTGGGGGGAGGGGGGAGGGCGGCGGCGACGACGCCGACGAGCAGGGGAAGGAGGGGCAGTAGCAGGATGAGGACGAGTCAGCACGTGTGTTTCGACGTGGAACATGCGTTGCAGATCTGTTGTAGAGTTTAAATTAAATCTACGACATGTCTGCAACGCATCCACAGCACCACAGGAGAGCTTCGACGCCATCTACAGGGTCACGCTGGCGCGGAAGCGCCTCGGCACCAATATGCAAGCCTCAGGTGGATCTGACAGCACTCGCGAGATGCGCAGCCGCGCCATGAATCTGCGCAAGTCCGTCGTCGGCCCGAGCGACGCCCTCGAGGCGGTAATGGTGGAGCAGGGCAAGCGGCGCACGCCGTCCATGGAGAGGGTCGACGAGGGAGGATAAGGAGGAGGAGCAGGGTGAGGGGGAGGGGGGGGGGGGGGGGGGGGGGGAGGAGGGTGAGGGTTGGGATGAAACGAGGTGGAGGACGCAACAGCGCAGCATCGTCGTTTCAGGCGCGCTGGCCTCGACAGCGCCAGGCGCGCATAAGCAGGGGGCGCCGCGCGCGCCCAGACAGAAGTGGCGGGCCAACGCCCTGAGCATTGGCTCGGATGTTGCGGCTAAAACAATGTGCCAGAAGACCAGGCCAGGTCGTGCGCCCATCCAGTTCCCTTCGGACCCCGCCCGCCCTGACGCCTTCCAAGTGCCGACTGGGCAAGACGCGACTAGGCCCTCCGTCCTCTCGTCACCCAAAGGGTAGGCGAGCAATCTATCCAGTGTCTGTACTCCTCCCTCCTGCCCCCCCTTCTGTCGCTAGCCATTTTGGCTCAAAATCTTCAGGCGTCCGTTAGCCACGAGTGCAAAGCGCACCCGGCAGACTGCGAACCCAACTGTCCGCGAACCCCATTACATTGAATGTTCGAAGGAGATTGCTGGCAAAAAGGGCATCGAGGATGTCATTACTCCGTTGGTTTCTGATGCTTCAAGACTGTTGCCGATGCACGTGTTCCGAGTGTCTATAATATTGGAACTCCTGGTGGCTCGCGGCATCAAAAAGTGCGCTCTGTAAACCACTCTGTTCCAAGCCTCAGTCAAAGAAACCATGCCGAAAAGCGACGACCTCCTTGCCGCTAATATTACCGACCACGTGCGAGAATGCGTTGCGATGGTCCGACAGATCAAGCTCGACGAAGACACGACCACCGGGAAGGCTCGGAGCCGCAAGTCGGCGGCATTCCAGCGACAGCGCGGGGCCTCAGATCGGATCGCCATCGACTCCCTCGTCAGGAAGGTGGAGCTTGACAGAGGGCAGCCGCCCGAGGTCGGTGGCGATGCGGCGGCGTCGCAACCGAAGGCCCCGATCGCGCCCCAAGCCAAGCCCGCCGCGACCTTCCATCGCAAGAGCGGGCTCCTGGACATGATCCGTTCGGATTTTGCCCTCGTCGATTCGCTGGAGGCTGGCATGAATGATGCGCAGAGCGGGATGCCCATACCTTCTAGCATCGTCTACCGCGAGGACGGGCAGAGCCAGGGCGCGTTCGGTTCGGACGGTTCCCCGATGATGTCACCGCGGGGCTCGGCGCCCGCTGCGCCTCGACGCAAGTCGCCGGCGCCGTCCCCCGCTGCTGCGGCCGCGATGAGCGCGATGAGCCTGGGCGCCGTCGCCGAGCATGGCATGGGCGATGGCGAGGAAGGAGCTCCTCGCGCCAAGGCTCCCACTTCTCCCAGGCTCGAGGAGGCGTCAGAGGAGGCGTCAGAGGATCCGCCAGATCCTCGCGCGCAGAGGCGTCGGAAAACAGTCTTAGCAGCTCGCGAAAAATCTAGGGCTAAGCAGCGCGGTAATTCCCAGGCCAAGCGCCAGCACAACGGGGAAGCAGGCGCAGCGGGCCCCCCAGGATGAGCCCAAACCCAGAAGCTGCAGACTCCCCCGAAGCAAACCGCCCCCCAGCGCGGCAAGGCCGCCAAGGCGCTCACCAACCCTAAGTTGGCGAAGACTGAGGAGCTCAGGTTGAAATCGATGCATGCACCGCCCCTCCTGCATCCCCCTTCCCCCCCCTTCCTTCCCGCCCCCCTTCTCCGACCCCCATTCCCCCCTAAGGGCCGCAGGGGGGTTGGGGGGGATGGCGCCCTCTGACGTGGATTCTGGCGCCCGATGTCCTGCCCCCCCTCCCCCGCCATTTCTAATTTCCTTGGTTGGCCCCCCGCAGGGGAAGGGCGGCCGCGCCGAGGCAGCGGCCGCGGGGGGGGGGGGCGAGCCAGAAGCGGGCCCACGCGACCACGATAAAACGATCGGTTTACGGGCCCAACGCCGAGAAGCACATGGAGGCCCTGGTCGAACACATTCAGAAAACGCAATGCTCCAAGTCATCGGCTCTTCAGCACAAGGGCTGCCTCTCGCAGCTGGACTTGCGAAAGAGGGGGGCGGGGGCCGCAGGTGTCGGCGCGGCTCTCATGGGGTTGCGGGCGGCGGTCGCCGCTTGAGTTAGACTGATCTCTGATTGAACGCGGACGAGCCCGCCCGAACAAATTCTATGTTACTCACAATCCAACACAACAAACTAGTAACCCAGTTATGTGCACGCTTGCTCACTGTTGTACAACGCACCCACGTGACATAAGTGGCCCTGATGCAGTTGTTCCGTTTAAGGGGCCTGTTTCCATTATGGCTGATGTGATAATGTCATTGCGCGATGCGTCATGCATCTTTTTGTATCCAGAATTGCGTGTGCCTGTGTGTTTGTTGGTACACCACCGCCTCTTGTATTTGCAGCAACAATTCCAACAACTATCTGACCTGGTAGATGTGCGATACTGGCGAATATGGAGCGCTGTGGATGTGGTGTATATACGTTGTAGATTTTGAAACCTGCAACAGATCTACAACATATCAGTTATATATATGTTGTAGAGTGCATTATATACAGCAGATCCATAACACATCTACAACGCCATATAATTCTCCAAATCGGGAATACACCAGCGCAACGAGGTTCTGGATTTTGTGTAGACAAAAAACATATGGTGAAACAAACATGCTCAACAGCAACATCCGAAACGAAAAAAAAACATGCATGGCACGCGTCGTGCAAGCACTTGACCACATCCGTGGTCAGCTATGGCCACGATCGGAACGTTGCCTTGTTTCCCATCACGAAAACGACAGTATCACTTTTGAAACAGAGAGGGGGTCTTGAATATCCCCGTCGTTTCCAAAGCGGGGAACGTCGTTTGTTTCGAAGGGATACAGCAATTTCCCAATCGTCGTCGACAGTTCTCTGGGCAGCCGCGATTGAGACGCATGCACAGTCAATGCGCGCTCAAACCTGCGCAGGACGATGCAGAAAACCCGAGCAAATACATATTATAGTTGAGCGCAGAGCGCGTGCAACATGCAATTCGCACGTGCGTATAGATGCATGGCATTAAGGCGTGTCCAGGGACGCGCTGGACCACCCATGCAATGGCAAATCCAGCCGCGGCGGCGAGAACGCCCCAGGAACCATTCCTATCCAAGTTCCTTCTTGCGGGGGCGTCGCGCTGAACTGTTGGCGCCCTCTCAGAGGCCTCGCGGGGTGCACGTCTCGGTGGAACAGTGAAGACAATTCGTGTGAACTCGCGCATGTTCTCCTCAACTCCGTGATGGCCTGGAATATTACAGTGAAGTCGTGAGGCCATTCGGGAAGATGTTCGGGCAGATTCAGGGTTGCGTGAGGGGCCCCTTTAGATTCGGGGCCCCTTTGGGGGCGCCCACTCCACTCCACGCCGCGCCAATCCGATCCTCCTCCGTAACCATATTGGCCCAAATCCAGCCTTCGCGCGGTCACGCGCTTTGTTTCGCACTTCTATGCATATTCGTTCACG